TCTCTGCAGAGCTGCTCTCCAGCAGGTCCACCCCAAGCCTGTACTGGTGCATGGGGTTGTTCCTCCCCAGGTGCAGGACCCTGCACTTGCCCTTGTTGAACCTCATCAGGTTTCTCTCTGCCCAACTTTCCAGCCTGTCCAGGTCTTGCTGAATGGCAGCACAGCCTTCTGGTGTATCTACCACTCCTCCCAGTTTGGTGTCATCAGCAAATGCTCAGGCAGGGCTCTGCTGAGTCCCTTCCTGCCGGGTCCCGGGCACAGGGGTGCTCTGTGGTGGTGGGACCTTGGTCCCCAGTGCCCTGGGATGGTCCCTTTGACCAGTAACGTGAGAGAAGGGCTGAGCCCGCCCTGGGCACCCCTGGGCCTCCTGTGTGGGCTGGGGGTGCTGTGTCTTCACCTCGGGTCTCGGTGTGGAGCCGGAGATGTGCTGGAGGCTGCGGGAAGCGGTGTGTCCCCCCCCGGCATGGCCACCCAGGGCTGCACGCACTGTGGGTGAAATGGGGCTGAGCGTGCTCCTGGGCTCTGCAGGGTGGCATGCGTGGCTGCTGTGGGGCCAGGGGTAGCCTGTCCCCTCCGACAGCAGAGACCTGCTGCTACCTCACGCTCTGTCCGTCTCCTCTCCAGTTCCAGAAGTTTCTCAGCTTATCCCGGCCGTCGCTGGAGGGTGAGAGCCCTGCCCTGGAGCAGCCCAAGGCTCTCCTGCCTCTGACCGGCAGCAGCAGCAGCATCTCTGTGGTTGGGAAGGTGAGTAGCTGAGCAGGCGAAGCTGAAGGAGCTGTGTCGGGGCGGTGCTGGGGTGACTGTGTCCCTGCTGCTGCCCCCCTGCCCTTGCCTCTCCCCGAAGGGATGCCTTTGCAGGGCCCTGGCGGCAGTGGGAGCTGGGGCTGCCCTGGCTGGTGGGTGCTGCGCAACAGGGGTTGCTGTGGATGCCCACATAGGGATGTCTGGTTTCCAGCTCTGTTGTATCTTACTGGGAGGGTCAAATGTGTTCCAGCTTTTCATCTGCCCGGGGGCTTTGCTGCAGAGATGAAGCAGGCCCACAGTTGGCTGTGCCTGGGTGGGCTGTGAAAGCCCAGGAGCTGATGCTCACTCTGGTTCCCCTTCCCAGACTGACGCAGACCTGGCTTGGGACCGTGCTGCTCACGGCGTCGAGGACCCGGCACTGCCGAAGAAGCAAGTCTGCAGCACACCGAGGGTGGAGAGGATGCTGGGCCGGCACCGGGCCCGAGAGCAGCTCCTGCCGCAGCGCAGCGACGGGGAAGAGGAGGAGGAGGAGGCTGCCTTGAGCCCAGAGCTAGACAGCAGCATGGAGGCTGCAGAGTTTTGTGTGAGTGGGGCTCGGGCAGCGCTAGAGGAGCGCGAAGACCCCTGCATCATCAACACGGGGGACGTGTCCCTGAGCGAGCTGGTGAAGTCCATGCACCCCTACTGTCTGCCCACCTTCACGGTGTGCCTGGACCCTGAGACCGAGCCCGTGGCCAAGGAGCTCCTGAGTGGTCCTGTCTTGCTCGAAATTGTGCCAGGTGAGGGGGAGAGTGTGGAGATTCCCGTGGTCCTACAGCCACTGGCTCCCAGGTTCCCTGACCTGGAGCCGCAGATCCTGGGAGCAGAGGACGGGACGGGGGG